TCCCAGTATTCGCACCCAAACAGGCTGGGACTTCAAATGTTGGGAGGGCTGCTGTCTGCGTACGCTGGCGGGTGCAACCTCCTCCGGCAGGAGGGCCGTGCACGACAGCGCCATGCGAACGTCGGGCCGCATCGGATCGACATGTGTCGAAACTCGGTGGCGCTCAGCCTTGAACGCCCGCGCGTGGCAGGCGAGCAAGCGGGGTCTCTAGAGGCCTGGACACCTGCCAGAGAGGCTGGACTGGACCCTCCAGGCAAGGCAGGCCACGGCTGTGGAAAAAGCATACACAACAAAGATAGTGTGTGCGGGTGTTCTTTTCACAGCGCTTGTGTGTCATCCAGAGTGTGCTTTTTTGTCCCACAGGGTGTTTGGTGTGCTTTTTGTGTTTGTTGTGCGTGTTCTTTTTCCATGTGTGCTTTCTTCCACAGATCCCCCTTTGAGAAACCGAGGCCCCCAGGGAAACCTGGCCCCACGGAGACAGCCTTGGGAGCCCTCTGGGAGCGCCTCAGGAAGCGCCAGGGGAGCGCCCAGGAGCGCCCTGGGAGCCCCCCGGGGACCGCCCCGGGAGCGCTCTGAGCGCCCTGGGAGCACCCCAGGAGCGAAAGCGGGTCCCTGAGGTCTGACCGTGCGACGAAATGCGACACTAGAAGAAAAACAAGACACATAAACACAAACTTTTGGCGCTCCCCGCGGAGTGCCAAAAATTTATGTTTATGCCGCTTTTACTTCTTCGAGATGCAGTGCAACTCCACAACCGTCTCGTCTTTGTCCGTGCATTTCCCGAGCCAACTCGAACTGAGAAGGCACTGAGGCCCGGGCCCTGGCAGACACGCCCGGCGTGAACAAAAAAGGACCTCGGCCCCAGAAGGCATTCCGAGGCTGGAAGACAACATCCAGACATCGACGAAAACGCCCTCGAAGCTTGAACCTCGAACAACAATGGGCGGTGACTGGACACAGAGAAGACTGCATGAACATTTATAGGTCGGAGCTCCGCGCGGAGCTCCGAAATCGGTTATGCGATTGTTACTCCTCGCGGGCGGTACGGGACGTCGTGGCCCGTCTCCCGCAGGGCCAGATGCTCATCCGTGCGAAAGCGCGAAGCGCATTCAGCGCGAGAAGCACGTGGAGGAGCGGTCGATGCGACGTTCCGCCGGTCGTCCTCTTCCTTCCGCTTCGCCAGCGTGCCACCGGGCACAAGGACTGCTGGCGCAGTCCCGAGCGTGATGCTCCTCGTCTTGGGGGTCTGCCGCGTGCGCGGGCGCGTTCTGACTCGCCCTGTGCTCCCGCGACGAGCGGCGGTGCTTGTCCTGTCGATACATCGGCGATGCATCGGTGATGCACCACCGATGCATCGTCGACGTCCGCAATACATCGGCGACGTCGACGTGAAGCACATCGGACCCCACATCGAGCCGCGTCGGCGATGCATCGGCGATGCGGCGCGATCCTCCGACCCCATCTACTCCGACCCCATCTAGGAGGCCTAGACTTTGTCTCTTCAGTCTTCGTCTGGAGTCTCCAGGGGGCTTGGCGCGGCCAGGATCTGCAGACGCTGCGTCGACCCTCGCGCCGTGCTTCTGCAGCGTCTGTGCTCCTGCCGTCCCACCCTGCCGCCGGTGCGGCGACTCGGGACGTCCTGCTGGACTGGACTCCCTGGGCCAGGGCTGCCTGCCCAGATGTCCCGTCCAGCAGCGGACGCCACGTCTTCCCGGTGCTTCTCGGGTCGGGCGAAAGGGGGGGATAGCAAAGGGGGGGTTTGAGAATCAGCTCACGTAGCTGATTTTCCCGGCGCCTCCCGGCGCCGGAGGCGGCTATGTATCGAGGAATGGGCCCCTCGGCGGGGCCGAAACCAGCTGCATGCAGCAAATTTCGTAACCCCCCCTTTCCCAATCCCCCCCTTTCGCCCGACCCGGGCTTCTGCAGAAGGACGACCTGGAGCATGTTCCCCAAGGGGGGCTTTCCCCATTGAGCTCTTTTTTACCCTGAGTCGGTTTTCGGCAGTCCGGGGGCCCGCGGAGGGGTACCGAGGGCGTGAAGAATGGGCAAGTCCTCGGGACCCGTTCCTGTCAGGAACCGTTGAAGGGGCCCCAGGACACACAAATAAATACACACAAATCAAAATATTCCCAATATTTTCCCATATTTTCTGGGTTTCTGTCTTCCCCCCCTCTTCCCATATTTTCGCATATTTTTTGGGGAATCGAGGATTCATTGTGTCTGTGTGTTTCTTTTCCCCCTGAACCGTTTCCTGCTCTCGAAGAACACAGGGCGTAAACGCACACCCTTTCGGCAGCCCGCGCGGATGTCTTGGATCGGCGCTGGACCCCCTGGCCCAGGGAGCTCCAGCGTGGATCCAAGAACTCCGCGCGGACCTCCGAGAGTACATGCCTGCGCTGCCTTCTGCGAGGACCTCCACAGGAGTTCTCCGCCGCGCCCCCCCCCCCAGAGGCCCGACGATGGCAACGCGGTGCCCCCCCCCCCCCCAAAGCCTGCACCGTCGCAGATCGACAACCACACCGCGAAATAACCGCACCCCTAGTCGCCGATCGTGCCCCCCCCCCCTCCCCCCATGAATGGGCCTCACCGGGGCGCGCCGGCCGCGGCCAGCTGAGGCGCGCCCGCGGGGGCCGCCGGCTGTGGCGGCTCGGCGCCGAGGAGCTGGTAGCGGACGAGCTGCTCGTACGCGCCGCCTGCCGGGGGGGAGAGGAGGAGGAGGTGGAGGAGGGGAGGGCGGGAGGGGAGGAGGCAGGAGGGACGCAGGAGGAGGAGGGGGCGGAGGAGGGAGGGAGGAGGGGGGAGGGAAGGAGGGACGGAGAGAAGGGAGGGAGGAGGCGGCGCGGCGGGCTCATCAGGAACGCGAGTCAGAATTCGGCCGAAACTGAAAACAAAAAGTTAGCTCTGGTTCCTCGAGTGCGCATGATATGCGGTGACTTAGCACGTGGGGGGGCTCACGCGCTCCTCGACTCACAGAACGGACATATCCCTGTGGCCAGAAGCGGGATGAGCTCCACAAAATTCTTCGGGGGACTACCATCGAGAAAAACTGAGGCGGGCGGGAACCCTAATTAAGTCGAAAAGTCTAAAAGACGTGGGGCAGCCAGCACCCAGGGTCCAGTTAAACACCGCAGACCAGGGGCCCCAGGACTAAACAACGCCAGAAAAGAACGCAAAACACAGGCGCCCACCAATAAGAGGGCGCGAAAGGGCAAGAAGCCACCTGAACAGTGTCAGGCTACTGATATTTCCTGGGGGCAGCCCCGATCAACCTCAATATGCTGGCATTCAAGCTGGAGGAGGAAGTGAGACGAGGAGGGCCAGACCCGAGGCTCGAGCGAGGAGGAGGACGAGGAGGGGGAGGAAGGGTTCCCGCCGCCTGCGGCGGAACTACTACTTGAGAATTCGACTGTATCACTGGCGCCCTCTCTCCTCCTCCCAGGCCTATCGAACTCGCAGCAGAGGGAGGTGCAAACAGAGAGGGAGTAGCTGTCTGCGAAGCGGTGCTGCCACTGGGAGGTGCCGTCAAAGTCGCCGCTCCTCTACCAGTAGCTGTCTGCGAAGCGGTGCTGCCACTCTGTGGAGGTGCCAAGGTCGCCGTCCCTCCACCCGTAGCTATCTGCGCAGCAGAGCTGCCACTCTGTGGAGTAGTCGACGAAGTCGAAGCAACATCTAGATCGTCTCTGCGCTGTCCAGGAAGAGCTGCATCAGGCGCTCGTGATGCGAGCGAGGTGGCGTTCCCTTCATGAGCTTTCCCCCGAGCTGCTTCAAGGAGTCGAGCAACTGTGTCTGCACGCCTGATCCCTGCGCCTCGAGATGAATCTTCATCAGCTTGCGATCGTGGGTGTACGATATCTTGCAGTGTCGGATCTGCATGCGCAGGCTGTCGTTCGTGATGGTTCCATCTGCTTTGATGGTGTCGAGGTACTGCTTCAGGGCGAGATGATTGGCGGCTCCTACGCGTTCCCCCTGTTGCACCACTCCGCCCACTAGCGCCAGCCACAGGTGGGGGTGTGGCACGCCCAGCTTCTCCAAGTCCTCCACTGGCTGTTGGTCTCGGATCTCTTGAGCGGGCTCGCGGCGAATGCGATTGGCCTCGTCGACATAGAACTTGGCTGTGATCCTCATGGCCTTGCACACGTCGTGGTCTCGATCCAAGTGGATGATGTGGTAGATGGCTGCTTCTAGGGCCGAGAGGCCCTGTATGTTCTTCAGCATCGCGCGCACCATCACGGGGAAGATGGCCTGGATGAGCTCGACTGGGAACGCCTCGTCGCCCAGGCCCATCACGTCGCCGCGCTGCAGCCCGTGCGTCTGGTCGGCGTTCTGGAAGAGCTGGCTCAGCGCGTTGGCCACTCCCTGCTGTCCATGCTGCGGTGGCTGCTGCTGCTGCCGTCCGCCCTGCTGACCTCCCCCACCAGCGACGGCCGCCACCCCTTGAGGGCGGACCGCTGGCGGTGAGCCTCCCCCTGCTGGGGCGCGGGGCAGGGGTCCCCGAGGTCCCCGCCGTGCGCCTCTGCCTCGGTCTCCGCTGCGGGACCTCAGCGCCCTCTCTCGTTCTTCTGCGCCTTGGCTCAAAGCACGGGTTGCCAGGTCCATCCCACTCGGCCGATACTAGATCTGGCGGTGGCGGGGCGTGGACGTCGCGTATGTGTCGCTGGAGTTCGGCAAGCGACTGAAACTGATCAAGGTGTCTCGAGCCTGGTGGCATACGCTCGACAAAGGCACCGAACGCAGCATCGAGGTCCTGGCAAATGGGGCAGCAGAGGTCCTCAGGTTCCTGAACAGGTGGGGCATAAGGGCTCTGGTCGCAAAGACACCTGCCACATTTCAGCGATTGCACCACGTGTCGTCGGGCAGTGACCTGGCTCTTGAAGGTGGACATGCAATACAAGCGCTGATTGGTGATCACGAGCATGTGCGCTGGACCACGATGTTTGTGACTGGGGTGATGGCATTGATGGGCCACAAGGGCCCCCTTACTGTAGAACACCATCCCACACCTCCCATCCTCCCCATCTCCAGGTAGTTCACAAACAAACTCATCAGGATCCTCTGGGGCGCCAGCACTGGGACCTTGGGCTCCGCGAGGGGGTCCACGGAGCTCTGGAACCTCTCGGAGCAATCGGGGATCAAAGCTGAGGAACTTATTAGCGACGACCGACCTCGTAAAGATATCACGAACAGTATAGTTTTCCACGAACTCTTTACCACCGCGAAGGTACCGTAGCGCCTGTACATCTCGCTCCAATTGGAGGGCCCACGGGTTGGCGGTGCTAGCGACTCGGCCGTCCTCTCTGAAGGTCGGCTCCTCTCCGAGGCCGTCGAGGCTGCCAAAAAGCACGGTGAGCGGCTGCGCACTGTCTTCGGGATAACGAGCGAAGCGTTGCCACTGTCTGAGACGGCGCACAAGAAGCTCTGCTCTTGAGTCTGTGATCCTGACTTGCCTCAACACCTGGGCCTCTGAGAGAGATCGATACTTCGGGCAGGAACCAGGAGGGGCGCCTTGCTCAAATTCAGGACGACGATCACGGAGCACAACCCGAGCGAAGCCCTGCACGACGGAATCGAGTTTCCTGAGGTCGAGCTTGGAGGGAAGGTACGATTCGAGGCCCGAGTAGGCCGCCGCCAGGATCGTTCCCTTGAAGGCCAGTCGTTTGAGGCGAATCGACCGAGTGATGTCCCAGAACCTGCCGAGCCTCCTCCACGCCGCCCTCGTAGCCTCCACCCTCCTCTTCATCTCAGCTCCGCACCCCGCCGTCAGCTGTTCCACCCCTCCCAAGTACAGGCCCTCCGACGACGTGACACCCGGAAGCGGAACCGTCTGAGACAGGAGGGCACGGGACGCGGTGTGGGCACCAGGGCCCACCATGACAGGCATGCAGTTCTCCTTATCAGGGTTCTGGGCGCACCCTCCTCCGATGGACAGCTCCCGATCGAGGATGGCATTGGACTTCAGGACCCTGGACCTGGCCTCGAGCGGATTCGAAGTGGCGAGTGGGATCGCTTGGTGAATGTCGTCGGCGTAGTCTCGAACCGACACGTCATGCATCTCATTAGTCAGACTGCACGTCATGACACACGAGGCTCTGTGGAGCGGAACCTGGGCGTTCAACTTACTGCAGAAGACAGTGGCCTCGTCGGCGCCCAGCTCATCTCGCCAGGCCTCGACGGGCCTCAAGAAACTGCGCACAAAGAGCTCGCAGCCACTGCCGTCCCCCATCCCTGTCCCATGCTTCGGTTGGAAGTACCCGACCTGCTCCCCCGCCCTGATCTCCATCACCGCCTCCTCATGCCTCTGGAGCAAGAACGCTCGATCCGAGTGCGAGGTGGAGGGGAAGGCGTTCGACATGTCCTTCTTAACTAGGAGGTGAGAGATCCCAAGTTTCCGAAGCCTCCAACTGTGAACTTTTGCTGCAATCTGTGCGTTCTGTCTACATCGATGTGCTGCATACCCGTGTGCATGGGGAGGAAGAGGAGGATGTGCTGACCTAAGATAGAGTCCACGATACCAGGCCTTCGCGAACGGGCAGTAGCAATGGATCAATCTCATGGCTTTTGTCCCCTTCTTGGTGTTCCCCTTTGAGAGCTGAAAGGTCGTACTCCAGTGCCACTGCCCAGGCGTCCGTGATTTGGAGCGAATCTGCCGAAAAATGCGCCTAAGTCGGTCCAGGAAGTGCGGGCACGGCGCGTGCAGTCGCCGTTCAAGTCGTTGCAACTGACGTTCCGAAAGCAACTCCGAGCCTGGCCAGGATCCCGTCATCTCTCTCGTGGCATGCTCCATGAGCCAGCGCCAGAGTTCTGCGGGGGCCGAGTGCGCAGGTGAAAAACGTCTGCGGGCAGCACTCTGCAGTTGCCTCAGAGTGCGAAACCAGTCATCATACGCGAGCGACGCCGGTGCAGCCCCAGGGAAGTAGTCCAAACCCTCCTCCTCTAACTCCTCCATGGCCTCCCGAGTGGGCTGCATCGGGTCCTCAATCACTGTTGCGCTGAAGCCGCCCTCCCGAGCGTTCGAGCACATTGTGGTCGTCCACTCTTCCAGTGAGGGTCGGTACTGGTCGGGGACGTTGAAAGACCGCTGTCGGGGTCCACGGCAGCGAGCCCCGATGGCATAGATGAGCTTCCATACTCCGTGGTAGTCGGCCGCGTGTCGGTGGGTCCCCGCCTCAGTCAGCAGTTCCTCCACGTGCTCGAGGTCTAGCCGCTTCTTGAGCAGCTTGATGTCCTTCTCGATGGTCCGAAGCTGGCGACGCTGCTCTTCGGTGAAGCAGCCCCTTCTGGCCAGCCTGCGCCGCTGGAGGGCCTCAGCCCGCGCCGCGAGGTGCGGGGCCAGCGGGCCGTGCTTCGCCGTTCTCGCAAGCTCTGGCAGCGCTGCAGCACGCACGTCCTCCACCAGCTTCTCCCACGAGTGACTGGGATCAGCGCGAGTCGTGTCACGCTCCCACTCCCTCGGGTGCGAGGCCGGCCGACGCTCGAGCTCTCCCAGAACCTCAGCTCCAAAGCCATCGTGTCGGAGGAGACGAACGACGAGGTCCTTGTCCCACACAGGTCCTCCTTTGGGTCCAGGTGGCGCCTGCAAGGTGTACCGTACTTGCCACAGGAGAGGTGCATGATCACGCGGACGACAATCTGGAATCGCCTGGAGGTCACGCATGGCATTGCGCAACGTGCAGCACCGCACAGTGGACGAGACCGCCTCAGACGGGACAAAGATGTGGTCAGGCGAGCTCTGCGACTCGGTGCCGAAGTACGTGGGGCCGACTGGGTGGAAGGTGTCCACCGCCGCCATGTTCTCCATCTCCAGGAGCCTCCACAGCTCCAGGGAGACCTCATTCTCGAAGTGGTTGCCGTACTGGCCGATGTGCTGGTGGTCCACCGTCGTCGTCGCTATGCCATGCCCTGTGCGACGGAGGCCGAACCCGCAGTTGCAGTCTGTGCCGACGATGACGAGCGACCGCTGCTTGGCCTCCTGCACCGACTTGTGCATCCATCCAGCTAACTTGCGGCAGCATTGCCTCCAATGGTCGGCCGTCATGTTGCTCTGTGGTGGAAAATAAGCAGCAATGATGGTGATGTCGAAAACTCCAGACCGTACTCTCACCAACCCACCACGGCCAGCCAGCTCTCCAGGTGGATGACGGATGTCGACCACGTGGCACCGTCTGAAGACGCGAGAGCGGAGCAGGACGGTGCACCCCGCTGACTTGTTGGTATATCTGCCTCGTTCCCAGCCGAACTCGTACGCTGTGTGGTACTTTGCCCGACGCATGGTGACTGGCTGCTTCAATTTCTGTCGCTGGGTCGTCGCTGGGCACACGATGATATCAGCAAATCGTAGCGTCTCGGAGATGTCATCTGTTCTCCAAGGATCCACCAAATGCAGCGGGTTATACAGTACGAAATTCAGAAGAGAGTTCCACATGGTAGTAACCGAAGAGTGTGTGAGTGTGAAGCTCGGTGTGAGCCCCCCCAGGCTCTGTGCGGGAAGGGGTGACCTCCAAAAAGCGGGGGCGGCCCTGTGCACGCGGCGGCCTGGGCAAGGGGCTAGGGAGGAGGAGGGACGAGGAGGAGGAGGAGGAGGAGGACGAGGAGGGAGGAGGGAGCCCAGGGTACAGCGTCGGCCCGAGTCCGAGGGCCCAGAATCAGAAAGCGAAGGGGCACGCAGAGCACGCAGAGAGCGCGCCCTGCGGACCGCAAGCGAGGAGGAGGAGGAGGAGGAAGAGGAGGAGGAGGCAGGAGGCAGGAGGCAGGAGGTCGAGCGTGCCCAGAGGAGTTTGGCAACGATCATCGGGCCTTCCTCTCTGGGCCCAACATTGTATAAGAGAGACCCGCAACAAAGATATGCGAATCGCAGCACGAATCGGGAAGGCTCGGACCCACGCACGTCCGAACTGCGAGGCCAGACGATGAGCGGCGTAGAATGGAGAGGAGGTGGAGGAGGAGAAGGAGGAGGAGGATGAGGAGGAGGAGGAGGAGGAGGAGGAGGAGCAGCAGCAACAGCAGCAGCAGCAGGCAGGAGCGCGCGTACCTTCGATGAGTTCGAGGTCAACTGACTCAACGCCTCGGCCTCAGCCAGCTGCAAGGCTGGGTGGCAACTGGCGGGGCAGGAAGAAGCGTATAGTTGTCCGGCGTGTTGCTCAACGCCGCCTTGACGGCCTCAGGCTGCTGTGGGACCTAGAGAGCATGGACATCCTGCTTACCAGCCATCTCCTTGGCGATGTGGTAGATCTAGAATCAAAGGGCAGAGGAGGAGGAGGAAGAGGAGGAGGAGGCGGAGGAGGAGGCTCGAAGAGGAGGGGGAAAGGAGGAGGATGGGAGGGCTGACGGGGGGTACCCCCACCTCGTCAGCCCAAGTAGGGGCGGCGTCGGTAGCAGCAGTGGGTGTCCAAAGAACGCCACGCCATCCCAGTCCAACACATTACCCCAGCAAAGCACCCTAATAGCAGCAAAGGCGAAGAGGCTCGTCGAGGAGTAGGAGGTCGGCTATGGAGGGAAGGGGTGAAAGCACTGCACGTTTTACAACTGATCGTGGTCGTCTGGACCAAACATGTACACCGAGAAAGCAACGATGCCGCCAGGACAAGGGTGAGAGCATGGTCCTGCGCACATTCGCGTACGTTGTACGGCAGGTGTTTGCCATCCTGACCAAACGCCGTGCGGACCAAACATGTAGCTGCCATTGGGGCGCGAACGCGATTCCTGAAACGAACCTCGGCAGTTCAAGGACGGGGTCCTGAGGGATGGGGGCCCAAGGATCGGAGGGGATCCACGGGTGGACTTACGCTGCCTGTAGGCTGGCTGTGGAGCTGAAACGCATTTCGAAGCAGAAGGTCAGCAGGTACACTCGCCTACGGTATCGAGACGTCTATTCGTTTTTCTCCTCCTCCTAATCCTCCTCCTTCTTTGCTTCTTCTCCTCCTCCCTCTCCTCCTCCTCCGCCTCCCCCTCCTCCTCCTCCTCCTCCTCCTCCTCCTCCCTCCTCCTCCTCCTCCTCTCCTCCTCCTCCTCCCACTTTCCCTCCTCCTCTGCCTCCTCCCCTTCTCCTTCTCTTCCTCCTCTCCCCTCCTCCTCCTCCTCCTCCTCACCCTCCTCCTCCTCCTCTTGCGCTCTTGCACACCTCAGCAGTCGTCCCGATGACACAAGACGCCTGCCCTGGTGGGTGACAAAAAGTTATGGCCTTCTGAGAGGAACAGGAATGACCACCTCACGCTTGGGATGCGAGGGATCTTTCCCCTGTTTCAAACGTCCCAGGGCCTTCACTTTCCATTCAGTGCCGGGTCTTCCCTGACATTGCTTGCTCAATTCTTTGACCTGCGAGCGGGCATATGCTCCACATCGCACGCACCAGGTCGAACCTCCATTCTGCCAGAGACGGTGGGTGGGGTGGGCCTGAGCAACGGTCCTCGGGACCCCAGGGCACGGCAGCTGCACCAGCCGAGAGCGGACCGCCCTCGAGTTGCCGCACACACACTGCACCCCCATCCACCGCCAGGGGCCTGTGAATTTACATGACACTTATTTTCTGGGACTATCTCTAAAATCGGGGTGTCCGAATTTGTGGGCTCCCGCTTGGCTCGCTCAGAGTATGATGATACATCAGGATAACCCAGCTCGTGGACATATTTGAGAACTGCCACCATAAATCTAGATATGAACGTAACCAGATCATGATGGAACCGCAGGCGATCGCGTAGGTGATGATTTTGTGGATGCGCCTTGGCCCCAGCCTTTGCCCAGGAGTCGGCCTCCTGGTTGCCCTGAATCTAGTGCGGCTCGTAGCCGCGCCTCTCAGCCGCTGCCTTCGACATGCGCGCCGGCATCCAGCTGACGTCGTCTGTCATGTTCCAGATCTGTCGCCAGAGCTCTGCGTATCCCTTGTTGCTTTTCTCCGTCCCCTCCCTTCCCGCCTTCCACCCATCATACACCATTTACAATCGGTTATCACGTGGACCTGAGGCCCCATCAGCAGCAGGACCATGTAGAAAGCTTATAGTTCCCTGGACGGAACGTCCTGAACTGGGAGAGGACTTGGCCCGTGGGCCACTGCTTCTATCTGCATATCTGTGCGTATCGAAACCAGAGACCAGCCTGCGCGCTGCAGCCAACGAATGTCGCCGTCGTAGGCCGAGCCGTCGATGCAGACTGCGTCTCCTAAAACTCCACTGACGGGCTGGACCGCCCACTTATAGCTTGCGCCTTGCAGGATCTTGGGGAACTGGGTACGCGTGGAGTCTACCAGGCCTTTAGTCCACCTTATATCTGGCCCCTGAAAAGCCCGAGCAGCAGCTCCTAGCCCACTGTGATCATGATCCCTCCGAAGCATTTTGGAACCATCACATCCCCAGATCCTGTGATACACCGTTCCTGGTTTTGGCAAACACCACTGGCACCTATCATCAATCACGAACCGCTTTCTGAACACGTCACGCTGCGTCCAGAGCCCTCCAGAAACATGAGCAATAAGAAGACTGACCCCAAGATGATCTCCAAGACCTCTTAATCTGGCAAGTTCAGCTCGAAGAGGCTCCACCTAGGGCTCCCATGAAACATTGTAGTAGGCTCCAGCTCGCAGGCGCAGCAACCTCCTGGTCGCTTCATCCGCTAGGGCTTGCACAGTCCTAGGCCCTATCTCCTTGATCCTGATGGTCACACCGTCGGTGTTGACCCAGACATCCCAAGAGAGCCTGCCATTCCAGTCTCTGAAGGGTGAGGACCACCTCCTCCTCCTCCTCCTCCTCCTCCTTCTCTTTCGCCTCCCCGTCTACAGGACAACATCCCTCAGACCCCACCTCTGAGCCACCCATACCTGCGAGGAAATCTCTGGCGAAAGCGGCTGCCGCACAGGCTGCCGGCGAGAGCGGCCTCGGGCTCCCCCGTCCCCACTGTGTGGGCTCTTCCAAGGCGACCGTGTCTGTCTTTGTTGAAGGGGCCCTGGGACACACAAATTCGCCGGCCCAACGGGCCAGAGGCGTGCTAAGATCTCCGGTAACTGGTTAACAATTCTCTAGTTCGCGCGCGCGGGGCGGCCCCTGGGGGTCCCCGGGCGGAAAGTACCCCGGCAAGGTCCTGAGAGAGTCCCGGGAGGAGTCCCCCAGAGCGCTCCAGGAGCGCTCCATGAGCGCACCAACAGGGCTCCGAGACGTCCCCGAGAGCCCCAAGAAAGGCCAAGAGGCCCCCAAGAGGCCCCCAAGATGGTACACGAGGGGTCCGACATGCCACAAGATCGCTCCAAGACGCCCAAGATAGCCCCCAGACGCCCCAAGAGGCCTCCAAGAGCACTCCCAAGAGGGCCCCCGGAGGCAAAATTCATTGTTTTTCCTTAGGTTTTTGAGAGATTTTGGAGCTTCCACCTTTTCGGCTTCCCGACGCCCCAAGACGGCCCAAGAGGCCCCCAAGATCGCCCCAAGAGGGCCCAAGAGGCCCCCAAGAGGGCCCCAAGATGGCCCAAGAGGGCTCGAAGACGGCCCAAGAAGCCTCCAAGACGGTCCAAGAGGGCCCCAAGAACGCCCCCAAAGGGGCCCCAGAGAGGGAACACGAAACAACATTTCGAGCCCTCGGCCCTAAGAAGCCCCTACGAGGCCCCAAGAGGCCCCTAAGAGGCCCCAAGAGGCCCCCACGAGGCCCTCAGGAGGCCCCCAAGAGTCCCCCAAGCGGCCCCAGGAGGCCCCCCAAATGCCCCCCCGAGCGCCCCAGGAGTCCCCCAAGCGGCCCCAGGAACCCCCAAAGCGCCGCATTGACACCAGGCCCTCGGACAAACGGCAGACATGAGACTGTATGGGCCGGCGGAATGAGCGAAGCGATTAAATAAATACACAAAACCAAATATTCCCTTATATTTTCATATATTTTCTAGGTTTTTGTCGTCCCCATCACTTCCCATATTTTCCCATATGTTTTGGTGGATCGACGATTAATTGTGTCTGTGTTTTTTTCCCTCCTGATTTGTACGAGCCCTCTGGCAAGACGCTGTCGTGGACAAGGCAGCGAGCAGTCATCGTCCCGTCATGCTGATTGCTTGTACTGTAAGCCATGGGGCCTCTTCCTGATAACCGCTTCGCTTCTCCAGGGGGGGGGGGAAGGGGGCGTTGCGGAGAAGGCAGCGAGCAGTCAGCGTCCCGTCATGCTGATTGCTTATGCGGTAGGCCATGGGATCCTTTTTGTGATAACCGCTTCTTCGCTTCTCCAAGGGGGTATTCCCCCCCCCCCGCCCCGACCGCGCACCCATCTCCTCCGCCTGCCAGCTCCCTTCCTCCCGCTCCCCTCACCTCCCACGGCTGAGTACAAGTGCGGCGGAGCGGCTGGCTGGCGCACGTGCAGCCAGCTCCAGGGGCCCGGGGCCCGCCCCCGAAGGGAACCACTG